CAGAGTGGTTATCTTTTGATAGATCTGAGCCTGTTTATGTTCAAAATACTCCCATATACTTCAGAGGTTATAAAATTATACAAACAATATTCAACCTTCTCCTTGAGAACGAGCTAAAGGATGCAACTGATGTTATCCTAGCTGGTTGTTCAGGTACTAAATATAATAGAAATAAAAGTAACCATATTCATTGTAGCTGGTGGAATTGGTACTTATCTTCATGCCGACTATTTGCAGAGTCTCCTACCATCCAATGTGAAGTATCGGGCAATTGCTGATGGAGGGTAAAGGCAATTATGTTTGTTTGATGCTTTGATAATGAATTATTTTTAAAAATAGATTCTTCATTAATGTACCAAGTGCAGCAGGAGCTAACGTGGTGATAAAGAGAGCCCAATACAGTTAGTAGTAAGAAAAGCTTAAAGTGTCATTGTAATCTTTTTACTAGTTTATGATATGCAAAACATGTCTGTCAGCTTGAATTCTGAGTGTGCCAAAGTTTACACTGGGAATTACTCATTTATGTGTGTTGGCCCACAGGTAAAACATAAAGCTCACTGCACTGTAATTTATTTTTTCTTTTTTTCTCAGTATCTTTATCGATTCATAAAGACTCCTATATTTTCTTTCAACTCTCAATATGACACTTGGCAGATACAAAACGACTTGCAATTGAAGTGCAATCCTCCAGACTGCAATTCAGAGCAGATGGGAGACATCTCAGACTTTCACAATGTAAGACAAAGTAGCCTTTACTGCCAATAGGCTAAATTATGCACACACTTAAAAAGGTGTCAAAAGCAAGTTAAAATTGTTTATTTTCTCTACATGTAGGACTTTTTGAAAGCATCACGGCAAATAGCCAATTCCACGGTTAATGGTGCTTTTCTTGATTCTTGTTTTGCTCATTGTCAATCTCTTGATAATCATGGTTGGACCGGAGTTCAAATTGAAGGACAGACTGCATCACAGACCTTTGCTAACTGGTACTTTGGTCAACCCGGAGGAAAGAAAATCGACAGTGGTCCATATCCCAGCAACAAGTCTTGTTAAAAACTTACAATAGAACAAACTTTAGGTCTACGTATAATTCGTACAATATTTTACTTTTTTGCACACAGTGATTGGCATTTTTTATTATGATAGTGTTATTACTTAAGAAAAGACACGTGTACATCAAGTGCTTTCTGTAATACACCGTTGCCTGCATACATGGACATGAACCAAATATAATGTTTCTGAGTCATCAGCCATCAGCATGATCACATAAAAGAATTGCTGCATAGTTAGTAGCATAAAAATTTTCATTTATATCAAACATTTTTTCTTACAAAGACAAGCATATTGATAATATATTACTATAATAATAATAACAATAATAATAATAATAATAATAATAATAAATATGCAGTAACTATTATAACAATCACTCCATATTATAGCACAGGATTAATTTATTCATCACAGTTCATATATATCTGGTAAATCTGAAGGCCAATCTCCTTTCCTCTTACACTCCCAATAGCCTCCTTTATACACATGCATCATACTATTAGTGAACGGGTCGTACTCCTTAATAAACCATGCAGGAGAATATGTTGCTTCTTTCTCTAATTTAGCAGCCTCCTCTGTGTTACCTCTTTCTGCTGCTTCCGCTGCCTTTGCTTGCAAGGACTCTCTCATTCTTCTCCTAGCTCTCTGTTTCTCTTCCAGCAGTGCCTAAGTAGGAGAAAAAATTTTGAAAAGAACATGCACATGTACATGTGCAATACATGAAAAATTACATGCGCCTTCATTTTCTTTTATTACATGTGTATAATTGCTTCTACTCCTCCCTATTCTCTCTCTCTCTCTCCTTTTAATACTTTATGTATTGTGCATTCTATTTCTCTCACTCACTTTAACTCGATTGGCCTCATCAAAATCTCCATCTTCCATAATCCTCTGGTCGGGACGATGGCGTGAGTCTGTGGGTGCTACGCCATCTTCCATTTCGTTCAGTGAACAAGTAAACTCTGAGAAATGATACATTGCCTCACTACCAGGACTGAGAGAAACAAAAGAAAAAAGATTAAGTCGAAAAAGAGTATTAGAAATAAACGTTCCTCTTTCTCTCTCATCCTCTAGTTCCTTTTCTTACGGTCTTGGAAAAACTCTCCACATTTCTCTAGCAGGGCCTGTGACTGGGTTCTTCCCATTGTAGGATAGTATTGGGGCACATTCGAGATACTCGTCCCAGTATCCCCTCACCACATATTGGGGCGTTCCATCTTTATCAAAACAGTGTCCGGTAATCTGAGAATGAAAGAGAGAATATTACCAGTATGGTTTTTTAATAGTAGAACAAACCTTTCTTTGCCTTTCTCGTGTGAAGTAGCTATAGGAATGATATTTGACTTCACATTTTTCTTTAGTTGTGTGATTGAGAACGGTCATTTCACCAGCCTTGGAAAAGAATAAATACATTAAATACATAAATACATGTACATGTGTATATGTGTATTACTATTACTGGGAAACTTTTGATCTTGCAATATGTGGCATTTACAATGTATATGTACATGTAAGTCACTACTACTGCACATGCATTTGGCAGCAACTTTAAAAATTTGTAAAAAATCCAAATTAAATCGGAATGGGCTCAAACTTTTCGCATAACATACACGTAGATGTAAGAACATGTACTGTACATGTATAATGTATATGCATTAGAAAAAATTATAAAAATGCCAAATTCTCTCCTTTTCAATTTTGACAAAATTTGACCCATGATCCTGTACCATAGTACAGGGACTTTGACCCGATTTTGGAAGAACTTTAAAAATAACTTTAAAATAACTCACATTATCAACCCACAGTTTACCAACAATAATGTTATGGATGGTAGTGACGACTTTATTCCAGGTATAATGGCTACCGGAACGATGGATGATAAGATGGACTCCACCCACAGGAAAACACTGGATATACTTCCCACGGAACTTGCTGGCTAGAGTGTACTCCTGCCATAGAGTCCATTCCTTATGTTCAGCATGCATTGCCAGCATGGGAGGATGATGACTAACCTAAAATTGTAAAAATTATACTTTTAATACTTTAATACTTTTAATGCTTTTTATACATGTACATGTACATGTGATATCAGTCATAAAAATGTTAAAATGTCTAAAATTACTGCTGTACAGTTATGGTACAATGTAATCATCAATAAACTGTACATGTGTACATGTACATCTTTCTCGCCTCTTTCCCTCTCACTCTCTCTTTTTCCTTACCTGTTCAAACAGTACTCTCCAGCCATACTCTGCTCTTCTATCGCATTCAAAGGTCTCCCCTAGCATTGGGTTGAAGGGTTTGTTGACTCTGATTGCTGTGGACTCGTATGAAGAGGCGGCAAAGGCAGCAACAAAGGCAGCCTCTTCCAGTGTAGAGGAACAAGCAGCTGCGTTATTCAATATCTCGTAGTAAGTAATGTCTTCGGATATTCGCTGGAGAAATGAGAGTGGCTCGCCAAAATGAACCTAAAATTATAGCAATAAAGTAATAATAAAAATACGACATTTACATGTAAATTAATTACTTCCATTCTCTCCCTCCCTCTCTCTTTTCTCCCTCTCTCTCTCTCTATCCCTATTACTGACTGGCATTGGTATCTTGGTGAGCTCTTTCCCTATACAGTTCTTCATTATTGTCCAGAGGTTTATCTTAGCATTGGGACGAGGTGATATGGTCTTCCTACGATACTCTAAAGTTGGCTTTGCATCATCTTGAAGCATGTCAGAGGATGGAGTCAAGAATGACTATAAAACATAAAGGTAATGTAAAAATACAAAGTTTACAGTACATGTATACATATGTAGGATTGGAAATACATATACATATACCTGTACATGTAAATGTATTAGAGTTTCATGCAGGGTTAACTGTTATAAGTTGACCCATTCAAAAATTAATGTATCAATGATGTCTCTATGATACTGGAATGTTATAAAAATCCCTTTTAAACACAGTTCTCGTGGCTGCCCTCACTGGGTCCTTGTGTTGTGGTTGATAGTTTACACGTGCATGTACATGTACACATACATGTATAGATGTATACATGTAGCAGTAGATTCACATGCAACCCCCAAGATGTCCAGATGTACATGTACATGTATATACTTATAATTATCAAAATGATTTTAGTTTCACACAGGGTTAACTAAGTTAACCCATTCAAAAATTTTTTTCTAAAGATCTATAGACATCAATAATAACACAGCTAGAATCCCTTTTATGCACAGTTATTTGTAAAAGGTCTCATGGGTTGCCCTCACTGGCAGGCAGTTCTTTTGTTGTGGTTAATGTCAGTTTACACATACAATGTACATGTACAATGTACATGTACATGCATATTACCTGTATTCTATTGCAGGAAGTACTTGCTGGTATGTTCTCTGGTAGGGCAGTAGAGGGTACAGGCACTGCTTCATTGACTGATATTGAGCTTGGTGTCCTCTTATGACTCATCCCGTGTTTGGTGGGTGGGGCCAAGTAGCTCTCGTCCGCTTCGGGCGCATCAAAAAACTTATCATCATCTCCATCTTCATCAGAACCCTCCTCCTCCTCCTCTTCCCTCCCATCAAACGGGTAAGAGCTGAAAGGAGGTGGGGACGGCGAGGAAGATTTGGGTAGATCAAATGTCACGCCCTTTTTAGGGGCATGGCTAACACGCTGGGCACCACCAGGGACTTTGGGACTCTCTTCGGAGGTTTTTAAAAGTGGGTGTGGCTTTGATGACGAGAGATGAGATTTCTGATTGCTGTTACCTACATGTACATGTAAATCTTTGCTTAAGAGGTCGAGTGTGCCGGAATCCTCCAATCCACCCCTCTGTGATACTCTCCGGGCTTGGTTCTCAAAGCTGTGCATTTGTTTCGCGAGGGTCTCGAAATTTTCTTGTATTTCGGCTCTCAGAGATTTCTCGTGCTGTAGCTGCTTCAACCAATGCTTCTCCATACTAGTCGCTAGTAATAAATAATCTTCAGAAACCTAAGAAAGAAAATTGTAAGTACATATACATGTACAGTATGTGCTAATTTCATGGCTGAAAGAATGATTTAATGGTAAAAATTATAACATTTATACATAAATGCATTTGCATCTAAATTTCAGTCAATTAGCTTCTTCTTTACAGTAAATAATCATGCAATGTAAGAATAGTAACTGTATAGAATTAATACATGCAATTAAGTGCTGCCATGCTAAGTGTGAATCCAATCCTCACTATTCAGGACCACTACAGACTACAAATATCAATCTTAAATGAGACACTGAGAGTTGATAATGTACAATGTACATGTCTACAATACATGCAGCAACAAATATATAAAGTACATGTACCTTATATGTAGTTTAGTCTATGTAGGTCAGGTAGTATTCACGACTGCTAATATTGGTGACAATAAAAACTAATAAAGAAGTTATTAAATACCACAGAGCGTTGCTATGACAATTGGCCACGTGTTTACACAGTGACAGCGTCCAGCAGCTAATTATCTATTCTTTAGCAGCTTTAGTGGAGCCATAGTTTTATCTCTTTTATCTTCTTATACGGACCTCCACTTTTGGTCAGTAGGTCGATACACCCAAGTCAATAGGCACTAACTGGAATGGGTGGAGAGTTCAAAGATACGGCAAGACAAAGAGAGTAGAGTATTTGTAAAAAGAACTGGCTAAAGCAGCTTCAAAGAGACCAAGGATTAGTAACAGCAAGAAGAATAACAACTCAAGAACACTGGAGTCGGGTGCTGTGCTTTAATACAGCCCCTTTTTCAATTAAAATAGCATCTGCTATGGTAGTTGTTAGCGGTAGGAAAAAATTCGCAAATTTTAGCAGCCGCAAATATGACCCGACCTACGATATTTCATTACGTACTTTAGCCATTGCACTAGACGTTATTTTAAACATGGCTATCTTCTCCTTAAGCTTTGTGAGGCTACCACTCCCACTTTGAGCTAGTTCCTTGTCATCAAGCTCGGCCAGTGTCTTTAGTATGTCATGGTGCTTCTGTAGAATGAGATTGTGAGTGGCAGTCACTTCGGAGAGTTTCTCTGAGAGTAAGTGAAGAGATTTCTCATCTTCTTTTGACTGAGAGGCAATGTCTTCATCACTAAACTCTATAAACAAACAAACAAACAAATAAAAAATTAATTAAATAAATAAACAAACAAAATAAATAAATAATTAAAATAGATAAGCACATAGTGTGGGGGCTACTGAAAGAAATTAGAATCAATGATACATGAAACAGTCCCCCAGGGAGTTGACCTACAGCTGTATTGCAATAACAATAACAAAATTACATGTACATGTACATGTATTTCATAAAGTACATGTACATACAGTACATGTAAGTCTACGAGGCTGTATAAGTACATACATGTACATGTACAGTTGCTATGTACATGTACAGTAAATGTACTGATATACTGCATGTATTATTAGCAGGTGATGGTAAACAGAATAAACGCTCTATTATGAATACATGCTGCCAGTCATAACTGGTGGGCAACAATGAAAAACAATATGCACATATACATGTACATGTATCTCTTTGTACATGTATGTTCATACCCTCGAGGTTCTTTATGGCTTTAGCCTTAGCCAGTTCAAGTGCAGTTACCCAACGCTGTCTCTCAACCTCGTTCAGTGCCCGCAAATGAAATACCTTGAGAAAGAGAGAGAGGGGAGAGGAGAGAGAGAGGTAGAGAAGAAGAGTGAGAAAGGGAGAGAGAGGGAGAGAGAGGAGAGATAGAGAGAGAGAGGGGGGGAGAGGAGAGAGAGAGGTAGAGAAGGAGAGAGAGAAGGAGAGAGAGAGAGAGAGGAGAGAGAGAGAGGAGTAAACAATCAAATATTGTACACACTAGCCAATAAAGGTCTGTGCAAACACTCCAGTAATTAAATATTATACACCTACTATGTGTACATGTACATAATAATCAACAGCCACAAAATGTAATCACATTTCAATTATCACCATAATAATGCTAAAAATAATGCAAGCAACTATTCAGTATTAACAATTACACAATAATAGTAATAATACTTTTTAATAAAAATGTTTATAATAATAATAATATTTGTACCTGTGATGCTCCATTGGTGACTACAAAGTTGGTAGAGTCAACAGTATCTATGCAGGCGCCAGCAAGATTAATGGTACCACGACAAGTATGAGCCATTTCCTCCTGCGTCCTATGGAGGGCGTGAGAGGGAAAGATAAATAGAGAGGGAGGAAACGAAAAATGAGTAGAAAACTGATAAGACGAATGGACCTAGAGCTTAGGCAATTTTAACTTCAATGACATGAAGCAACAAGGATAGAGCATACATGTACATGTACATATACATGTACATGTACTGCATGTTGCAAATTCCATTTCGTGCTGTTTGTTATATAAAGACAAACCCTCGGGGAACTTAAAACACAAAATATTAGCAATACATGTTTTCATACAGTGCACCAAGCAGATGCTAATCAAGTGACCTTTGCTACAATGTAATGCCTCCATGTACATGTAATACAGGATACAGTGACCCTTATAAAATAAACGTGCACCATCAGGTCTCATGCTAGCAGGGTTACCTATAATATGATAGGAGGCCGTTGGAGAGGACAAACCAACGCTTCTGATAGCCTTTAATGTAATTGGTCCATTTCAAAAGCCAGCCCCTGAACTGCTCGCGCTCTTTAGGAGCGTGAGGTTGGGCCGTGCTGAGGCTGCCCGGGGTCTTCTCTTTGAGCTTTAGGTTACGCGGAAGAGAGTGACTCTGCTGCGAGTGATGCCCCACTCCATCCACAAGAGACGCCATCTTTTCTTGAAAAGTATAGCCTAGTGTGCAGAGTTTTCTCCGCATCACGTTCCGTATACTATTACAAAACTATGTGAATTTTTAATTAGTTTTTAAATTAAAATATTAATAATGGCAAAAAATAATTATAGTTATTTTTGTTTCCTCTTTTTCTGTTTGGGCCCTCCTCCTCCTCCTCCTCCTCCTCCTCCTCCTGCCCCTGGAATGAACGGCATCTTTAGCTTGTGGAGCTGAGGCATGGCAGGAGCAATGGAGGTAGGGGGTGTGGCTTTTATCGGCTGCTGCTTGAGGGGAGGAGGGAGCGATGTAGAAGGGGGAGGGGCAGGAAGTGGAAGAGCTTGTTTGAGTAATTTTAATGTGGGCGGCACGGTTGAACTAACCTAGAGAAAAATATAACATGCATTAAAAAAATTTATGAGACATTAATTTTGGAGTGAAAAAAATTACCAAAAAAAATTTTTGCAAAAACCCAAATTTTATGGTTAATAATAAATCTTGGTTTACTTACTGGTTTCGATGGTTGAATGCTAGGAGGAAGTGATGGGCGGAGTTTGGGTGGAGCTTTAGGTAAGACGGAGCGACCAGCCTTGGAATCTCCCATCAATACTGTGATGCCTGGCAGAACAGGGCGAGCAAAGACTGGCCTGGAAATGGGGCGGGGCTGCTGTGGGGGAGCGGCCACGACTGGTTTGTGTGGCTTCTTTATTGTCGCTGGATTTGGCGGGAGAGGTTGAGGAGGAATGGTTTGGTGAGATGATGGTATAGGAACATCAAGGGGAGGCTTTGAAGGCTGTTCTTCAGTCCTACAAGATTTATAAAAATTATCATTAATCTGATTCTTCTTTTCTCTACTCTCTCACTCTCGCTTACTTCACTGATATTTTGTCTTCTCTTCCTTTTAAACTGAGAGAAAAAGAAATTACGTACATGTATAACCATTCCTTACTTTATACTGATGCTATCAGAGGTAGTAGTAACTGTGGGTCTAGGTGGGGGTCCAGGTAGTGGTTTACTGCTGCTTTGTTGTTCTTGTCTGTTAATTATTTCAACTGGTGCTATTACCCCATGGACTGGGCGAGCATATTTCTTTACCTCAGACATTATCTTTTGAAAGAAAATACAAAATTTAATAATGCAACTTGCATGCGGAAAGTTTGAGCTCATTCCAATTTAAATTCTTCAAGCTATGGTCACTTGAAAAGATGCCGAATTTTGGAAAAATACCCTGTACTATAGCCCATGGTTTTTTTCCGAAAAATGGCTCCGAAATCACCCCCAATTTTTATTACATTTTTTGATTCATATTGATGCCCTTATGCTATGTAGAAAGTTTGAGCTGATTCTGACTTCATTTTTTTGAGTTATGGCCATTTTTTAAAAACTCCAAATTTCGGAAAAATACCCTGTACTATAGCCCATGGTTTTTTCCAAAAAATGGCTCCAAAATGACCCCCAATTTTTATTACATTTTTTGATCCATATTGATGCCCTTATGCTATGTAGAAAGTTTTAGCTGATTCCGACTTCAATTTTTTGAGTTATTACCACTTTTTAAAAACTCTGAATTTCGGGAAAATACCCTGTACTATAGCCCATGGTTTTTTCCGAAAAATGGCTCCGAAATGACTCCCAATTTTAATTTCAGTTTTTGATACATATTGATGCCCTTATGCTATGTAGAAAGTTTTAGCTGATTCCGACTTCAATTTTTCAAGTTATGGCCATTTTAAGAAAATGCCAAAATCCTGAAAAGTACCCTGTACTATAGCCCATGGTTTTTCCGAAAAATGGCTCCGAAATGACTCCCAATTTTAATTTCAGTTTTTGATACATATTGATGCCCTTATGCTATGTAGAAAGTTTTAGCTGATTCCGACTTCAATTTTTCAAGTTATGGCCATTTTAAGAAAATGCCAAAATCCTGAAAAATACCCTGTACTATATAGCCCATGGTTTTTCCAAAAAATGGCTCCAAAATCACCCCAAATTTTTATTACATTTTTTGATACATATTGATGCCCTTATGCTATGTAGAAAGTTTGAGCTGATCCTGACTGTATTATAACTATTTATGATAACTAATATTTCTATTTTACATGCACATGTACCTCATCAAAGCTGCAAGGTTTCTCAATATGCTTCCGTCTCTCTTTTAGACTCTTAATTCTCTAAAAATTAAAATAATAATTACTTTCGGTCACACCCACTACCCAAGAAAAAGGCCACACCCATTTCCCATGCTTCTAAATTACACATAGTCTATCATTACATACATTACATAGCTGTACTCACTGCAGTATGACAGTATTACTTACTGCAGTATGGCTTCTTGGTATCTTTTTGCTTGAGAGAAAAGATTCGAGTAGCAGAGTTTCTGGATTAGGACCTTCAGCATACAGCTGCATAATTGATCGTCTAGCCTGGCACTGTCTTCTCAAATACCTTTTAAAAAATTCTGTTAGTTAGAAACTGCAAAAAAAACTTAAAGACAAAAAAGTCATTGCATAAAAAAAGAAAAAAAAAACCGCCCAACGTGGGGCTCGAACCCACGACCCTGAGATTAAGAGTCTCATGCTCTACCGACTGAGCTAGCCGGGCTGCATATCACCTTTGCTGACAACAAACCTTCTTATTCCTGAAGTGTGATACTTCTTTCTGTTATAATGCATTCTATTCTGGACACACACAACATCTGTGTCAGGATCTAAACACAATGGAGGCTGCAGTAGGAAGAAGACATTTTCAAAATAATGTCAAAAGACAGTTTACCTGAGTCGCCATTAGTACTCTGCTCTCTAAAGCAAGTCTATCTTCCTATCCAGCATAAAAGGAGAAAGGAAGATCTTCAGTACAGTTAAATTCAAACATACTTTAGTGCAATTCCTGGAGAAATCATTAATAAGCATTGACGTTATCTAACAATAAATAAGATTGTAACAAAATACAGTAATTATTATTATAGAGAAAATTCAAGGAATCTTCTTACTTCAGGTGAAGGCTTGAGTAGTATAAGCTGTGACTCATAATTGAGGGTATCCTCGCCAGCTGGTAATAAATAAGGGACTCTATAGCTTCGCACTTCACATATAATACACCCACTGTACATTTGACAATACTTGATGGAAGAAAAAATAAATAAATTACTAAAATACTGTATAGAAGGAAATTTTGGGGGTAGTTAAATTTTGGCGGACTTGGAATTTTGATAGCCATTCGCTGAAGAAAAAATACACCATTTTGAGCCTTTATGCCCATGCTCAATGGCACATGGCCACAAATTTACCAAATTAAAATTAGCAATTTGCCAAGTTTTAGTCCTTCCAAAATTTCCTGCTATACAGTAAATTTATATTAAAATAATACAACATTAATTTGGGACATTATTTTGGCAAATTTTGCAATAAAAATAAAATTAGAAGGCTGTTTATTTACTTTTGTTTTTCCAAGTATTTCCATTAGTACAGGTGGAACCTGATATTAAAAAATGACGTAATAAAAATGAAAGTGACTTTACCTCTCCAGAATCGAGATAGCTGAACAAATCGTCATTCTGAGCAATAGTAATAATAATAATAATAATAATAATAATAATAATAATAATAATAATGTGTATGGTCAACTTACTTCATAAGGTAGGAAGATTTCTTTATTTTCTTTTATATATAAATAAAATAAGATGAAACAATAATTAAATATTGCAATTACCGGATGAGTGATGAGAGGTTGGCTCAGGTAGCATAATTGAGTATCCTTTCTCATCCGAATAAAGATTAATGATGACTGAGACTTGAGCAACAGCTGGAGGGAGCTTTTGAAGCAAATTAGTTGAACTACGAAACCTCTGAGAGGAGAAGAGAGAAAAGAAAAAGAAGGGGGGAGGGAGAGAGAGAGAGAGAGAGGGAGAGAGAGGGAGGGAGAGAGAGAGAGACAGAGAGAGGAGAAATGAAGAAGAAAGAAAAGAATCAAGAGAAATGAGATGACAAAAAATGAGGTTCTTTTCCCAATCACAAACTGATACTGTTATGTACCTTGTCACTGCTACCATTCAAATGGTTAATGTAGCAGTTATACAAATTATCATATATATCTTCTGAACTATTATTATAAAATGACACGCCATCATAATTATCATTATCATTGTTTTTCTCACTCTGGTCTTTTCTGTGACTTGTCTTTGGGTGTGTACTTGTCTATTATTTTCTATAAAAAAACAACAACTATATACAAAAAATAATCTAAAGTTTACATGATAAATCTATTCCCCAGTTTGCTGTATATGATCTAGTGCATTGAATAGCTGATTCTTACCCATATTCTCTCGGAATCACAGTCAAGTTTAGCAGCACCTGTGGAAGAAAACATTTTGAGCTGGAGAGTTTAAAATTTTAACCCCTTTATTGAGCCACGCCCATTTCAATTTAAACGAAAAATTAATTTGCTCGTTTAATTAGGTTCATGATGGCGGACGATCCCAAGGATTTTATGATGATGATTGTATCTCGCGTTTTCCTCTTTTCTCTCGGAATATTGACCATCATAGTTGCCTCTCGTAGAGTAGTACAACAAGAAAAAGAGACAGTACCGGAAAAACAAGATGGTATGCCACTAAAAATAATAATATATTTTATTGTAACCACACCCACCTATGATTATTATCCATTAGTAACACAGACACTAACTTGGTATCACGTGATTACATTCCCCATTGCCGGATCTATCATGCTCCTCGTCCTGTTTTATTTTTTCGAATACATACAACTTATCTTCAGTCTATTTTCAATAGGTATGTGAGCGGGAACAAGTAATACACTAATGCATAATTAATAATAATATTATTATTATTATTATTATTTTAGTGATGTCTGGGATGACTGTGTATTGCTTTGTTGAGCCAATGCTAGAGAAATGGAATTGTAAATCAAACAGGTACATGTACATTAAAATTTGAAACATTATCAGAATAAATTTTAGGATACTTATATTAGACTTTATATTTGTATTTTTATTATTATGCCTTTCTATTCAGAGAGTATTGCTGTAGTACAATGGAGTTGAGTGGGTTGCTGTCATTCTTCATTGCTTTCATACTCACTCTGTTTTGGGTCTTAACAAATCACTGGCTTTTGCTTGACAGTAAGTATAAAAGGATTTTTATCATAAATGTTACTCTTTTACTTCCTTTAAGTACTAGGAGTTACAATAGGTACATTTATGATACAGTATGTAAGGCTTCCTAGCTTAAAGCTGTCATCAATCTTACTGGTCTTTCTCCTTGTTTATGATGTATTTTGGGTAAGAGAATCTCTTTTTTACTTATTACTCTTCTTTGTTTCTTCTTTTTAAATAAATAATCTAATAATACTGTAATGTAATAGTTCTTAAAATTTAATGTAAGACTTTACTTTCAGAAAGAGCAAGGTCAATGTTAGTAAAAATGTTAGTTCAAAGGTTTTTCTCAGCTTCTTCTTCCCTTCTCTCTCATTGTGTACTGTCTCATTGTGTACTGTACTACTGTACTATTATTCTCTTTTCCTAAGGTTTTTATATCATCATCAATATTCAATGCTAATGTGATGGTAGAGGTTGCCATTAAAAAGGCTAAGAGCCCAGTTGCTGTTGTGGCTGACACTTTAAACATGCCTGAAGTTTCCCAAGCCCAGCCTTTCCTTTCTCTTCCTGGAAAACTAATGGTCCCTAGGTATAATAATAAATTATAATATTGATAATTATTAAGATATTGTTTTTGTAGTTCCTATACTGAGGATAGTTATTCAATGCTTGGCCTTGGCGACATAGTAAATTTCTTTCTTTTTCTATCTTTTTTTTTCATTACCACTTGTTTCTTCTTCTTACTTTTAAGTGTCTCTTTTTCCTATTCTCTCAATGGTAGGTATTACCTGGCCTCTTGTTGTGTTTATCAATGAGATTTGATCAGTTAAACATCAGCACCACTAGCTTAAAATCAACCAGACACAGACATCAATTGCTACTCCTGTGTGGCAAATGGAAATACTTCTCCTTATCAATCATGGGGTATATAATCGGTGTGTATGTGCATTTATTATACATGACAATGACACCTCTCTCTTTTCTTCTGTATTTTAGGTTTATTTTTAGCAGGTCTAATGGCTGAATTAGCTGACTATCCTCAACCAGCTTTGCTCTATCTTGTCCCTTGTGTTCTGCTACCAATGACTGTCAAAGCTCTTGTGCAGGTTTATATTAATTGCTATTGTCATTATGCTATTCTTACATTTATTGTCATGTTTTATGATTACTGATTTATAGGGTCATTTTAGGATATTATGGCATGGTCCTTTTACTGAAAACAGCCACTCATCGTTACCTTTGTAGAAATTATAACAAAAATATTGACACCAGTGACTTATTTGTTTTCTATTCTGCATTATTATTTATTTCTAATAAACTGATATTAGCAACTTATAGGCAATGCATTTAGAAAATTGTGCCCTTTCTATTTTAACTGCCAAATTGCTGCAATGTATATGGAGCTTTGGACAATTGGTCCATCAAAATTTCACCATTAATCAAAATAATAATAATAATTATTAATCGCATCTATTTAGATTGAAGGCAACGTTTCTGAACAGGTTTCGTCACATCTTTATTGAGTAGCATTGCTGCTATGTCACACCACTCAAACTCATTCCACTTCCTGCCGGCCTCGTGATAGAAAGACTCTCTGTTCTCCCTTTTACGGCGTTCCAACCTTTTCTTCTCAATTTCTGCTTCAATTTTACCCAAGCCAATGATTTCTCTCCTTGCAGCCACGCTCATTGAATAATATGGATTCGATCTCCTAAGCACTTCCAGTTTTCTTCTTTCTTGATCCAAATGAGCTTCAGTCAATGACAAAGGAGGCAAAATCCCATGTCTTAAGTTCCTGGACAGAGCTCCTTTCTTTGGCTTATTGAGAGGAGAATAGAAGTCTCTCATAGTTTTACTGTCTGCCATGTGAACTGTCATCCCACGACTAGTGCTTGTTATATTTTCAGACATTGCTCCATCATCTGAGTTTGGATAACATCCATCATAGTTTCCAAGTGTCGCCGCATTATTTAGAAGAGAAAATGGTTGCTCCTTTTGGGGAAGGTACTTCATATTTTTAGCGTCTAAGAAACCTGATGGTAACGTGAGAGCTGCTTCCAAATTGTCAAGGTCAGCTGGATCAGACTCGTCATCAAGTGATTGTAAATCTTTTTGTTTGCTTTGTGACACTGATTGATTTTCTTGAGTGCTGCTAAGTTCATCAGTAACTTGCAGCATAGATGGTGTTGTGTCATCATCATAATATGGTAGTGGATGCTCCTTACCATCTCTGTCCATTGTATGATAATAGTCTTTATCATCTCTGTCTATTGACGTATGATCATCATAAGCCATCGTGTGACCTGGAATCAAATGATCCTTCATGTCACCAGTTTCTCCTTGATAGATTTGATCTCCTTCATATAAAGGCATTGCAGTGTCATCATGAATTCCAATATTCGGCTGGATCCCACTCCTTTGCATTAGATCATCATTGACTAAAGTTTTATTTTTTGACATTAAAGCTTGTCTAATTTCATTGTAAGCAGTTTCTGCAGTGTTGTACCTTTTACCGCTCCTTGTTGATGCATAATTGCTACTGTAGTCATCTTCAATCAGTGCACTCTTCATTGCAACTGATCTCTTTTCCACTTTGTTGTCCCTTTTCACTCCAGGCAAAGTAAACTCCTTCATTTTATTATGACGACCAAGGACTCCATACTTCAATGCACTATTACTCTCTTTAGTAGAATAAATCTTCTTCCCTTTAGTAGTAGCACCAAGTCCTTCTCTTAGAGCTGATGCATAGCTGCCTGCACCTCCTGGCACATCTCTGCTATTTATTGACACCTTTACACTGTATCCTCCTATACTAGCATGATAGAAGGTAGGGCCTGCTAAAGGTGGCAGCCCTTTTTCCGCTTCTAAATCCTCTGCCCTTTTCTTTTTGTCACTCTTTGCTATAGACGTCTTCTTCTTTGCAGGATGCTCTTGTTCAATGTCTTTATTGAATCTTCTGTTTTGATCATGAGGAACACTTAATACCTTTGCTTTAGGCTTCTTCTCTGGTTTGAGCATTGAGAGAGTTGGAATTTCTTCTGCCTCTTTAACCCTTTGGGCTAAATTATTCAGTACCTCATTCTAGTAAAAGAACATGAAAAATGACAGTAACAATGTGAACAGAACACAAATGTATAACTGTATGTGTGGTTCTAACCTCATTCATAACAACGTGCTGTATCAATCCTCTCTCAATTAGCAGAGCATGCAGTCCAGCCCTAATCATGATCAATAATACTTATATATATACATGTACATGTACATGCAATTGATGGCGTAATCAAAACTGGATAATTTTAGGGAAAAAAACTGCACCAATGCATACACAAAATCTATAATTTAAAAAACTAAAAATGTAAATGCTGTACCTATCAGTGATTCCAGTTAAATTTTCAAGAGCAGTAAAAGCAGCTTGCCTCTTTGACTCCTACAGTACAGTACAGCACATGCATAATGTAAAAATAAATATACATCATACATGTATGCATGAATAATGCTAACTTACATCTTCACTGAGAAGCGCTTTTAGTATCATCTGTAAAGTTTCATCATCAAAATCAAGCTGAGAAAGGAGGTCCTGTGTGTGCTCTTTAATAGACTTGGGTGCATTGGCATCATGGGATTTCTTAAAAAGTCCACGTAGCGTTGCATTTTTCTGAGCTGTAGTGATGTAGCGATTATTACTCAGAGCAGCAAGAGCATCTGCAATATCCTCTGTAATAGACATGTCATTTTTATCAAGAAGGCCAACTACAGCAAAGAGTAAAAGTGTTAGAAATATTTTAAAATGCAAGTAGAAGTACAGTAGTATAAAAAGGGAAATGCAATTTAAAGAAAAGAGGGGAGAAGGGAAAGTTGAATTCTACTTCTTTTATACCCAGTGTGTCAATGACCCAATCCAATGTCATTTCACTGTCCATTAGGTGTGAAGCATTAGGGTTTGAAAGACGTCCAATAGAAGAGACAAGACTTTCTATTGTAAAACCCATCTGTGACAGCGTTGAAGATGGAAACCACGAGCTCTTTATGATTCTATTCAACGTGGACATTAGATTTTCCTATGCACATGTACATTGTAAATCATTGAAAAATCTAATGCTGATTCCCTCACTATTGATGGCCTGTATCTAACACCAGTATGCTGATCTGAATCCTCTGGTTCACTCACATGTACATCTCTATGGCCATAACGCTCCATCCTTTTGCCCACATTGGGAGTAGAGAGATTATTCCTGTATTCAAAGTCATAAAATGGCGTCCCTACTCGATATAATATTTCACTCCTTGCTTCCGTGATTGTGGAGACGCTGTTCTCTCTAACGATAGGTTCTGTTGCCAAGGATATCTTCTTTGTCTTCAGTGGGACTTTAAAAGACGTAGTTGTGGATCTCTTGGGATGAGAGTCATGCATGAAAGTCTTTGAAGTTTTATGCAGCTAGAGGGAGAAAAATTCAAGGAGAATGCACAACATAATCTCTGATATATACATTGTATTTACCAAATGACCAGATGTAGATGATCCCATCTTAATATTCTTCACTCCAGTACCTACATGTACATGTACATCATTAAAATACATATCAACTATGACATGTACATGTATATTGATTCTTTAATTTACCTCGTGTCTGCTGGCTCTGTTTTTTTGCATATGCTGCTTTAGCGAGTGCGTCAGACGTCTGTTCTTTCTCCTCCTCCACCTCCTCATGTAGCTCAATATCAAACAAGAAAGCAGGCTGCTTTCTCTTTGGCTTCGGAGGTTCTTCATATTTGTAATCTTCCTCCACAGGCACATAAGAATCAACTCTCTCCCTCTCCTTTATATTGACCATGATGCTATCATTAGCTACCCATTGGTCTCCAAAAAGGTTTCCATAATAATCAGAAGCTTCCGACGAAGGCTCACTCTCAGCTACTTCTTCACTAGAAGACTCTTCTTCACTTTCCTCATCAGACTCTTCGTACACACTTCTCCTCTGTTTAGTGCTATGTCTGTTGTTAGGATCAATGAATGCTCCATATTCGTCCATCAGTTTCAGATCTATTAGCACTCTTTTTATCCTTCGTCTTTTGGCTACTGCATATTTGTTATTTTCTAGAAGCTGTACAAGAAAGAGAGAGAGAGCTAGGGTGAGAGAAAAAGAATCATCTCCTTTTCTTACCTTGTATTGTTTTATTAATATTCTTTGAAGTACATGATCAATAGGCTCATGATTGACTTTACCTCTTACGACAGAATTAGGAATGTATCCTAGAAAAAGCATAAAGTACATGTACATGTACATGTAAAATGCATAATTATACATGTACATATGTACATGTACATTTACATGTACATGTATATTAGAATTACCATCAGGTGCTATTGGAAATCCTGATGATGAGACTCTCTCCAATGGCGTCAGTTCAGCTTCAGGGAACAATTGATAATGGGATTTCTCTCTCTCAGGTCCAAACGACAAATCCTCTTCTTCCATTCTTCGAAGGTTCTCACTTACGTCAAAATCAGAAAAGTTCCTTGAAAAGGCATCCTCCAATGACTCAGACTATGATAACAATAATACAAACAATAATAACAATAATAATAATAATAATAACAATAATAATAGTAATAATAATTAGTAAAAATTATACAAATACTGATAGTAATAAATGATTACAATTGCATTAATAAAATCACAATATTTTTTATGTACAATGTACATGTACATGTACATGTATATTGCTAAGATTTTTAGTACATGTGTAAGTACAATGTACAGTGTATTATTAGCCAATTGTTTTATAATAATGATAAAAATTTACTGTTTTTATCTCCTTAAGACTAAGCTGATGTTTAATGCTCTTTATTTCATCAGGGTCAATGATACCCATTTCTCTTATGCTCTTGATTCCATCAGAGAGTATCCTTGGATCATACTGAGGTTGTGATATCAGTCGGAGTGCAAAAGGATTGGGAGTTGCTATGTAGTCGGCTGCATGGAGTCTTGCATGAGGTAGGATAGGGAGGGTAGGGATCTTCTGACAATCATACCTAAATGTACATGTACGTATACATGTACATGCACATTATACATACATGTACATGTAATAATATCATTAATATGCACTGTATACATGTACAATGCATGTACATGTACATGTAGTTAAAATCAGCTCAAACTTGAAGGCATTAACAAGAAAAAAAATGTAAAAAAAATTGGCAAAAAAACATACAATTTGAAAGTTGCTTTGAAAGTTGCTATGAATTCTCACAACTCAAATTTAATGGCACAAGTTGCAAATGGTAGTACTGTTACATGTACAAGTACACATTGAATACTGTTACAGTTACTAACCAAAGATCAGCATTCTGTCTGTATGGTATTGAATATTCAACCTTAGTCTCAATGACTTTATGTGAACTGACAAGTTTCTGAGGGAGATATCGATTAGGTGGTATGATCTGCAAATGATTCTGAAATCCAGCAAGAAGGCACAATGATAGGTCATCAAAGCAAACAGAAGTAACATTCATCTCGATATTGATATTACACAGGAGCTGGCCAATGTCATTCCATATCTTTATAAATCCGTCACAACTGCTTGTAGCAAAGAGAGAGAGAGGAACGCAACGAGAGAGTGATGTGATAGCCTTGCTATGATCATCTAAAGGATTGTGAGGGAGCGATTTAAGTTTAGGGACATGAAAGAGGTCGCCATGAGGGAGCTTGTAGACAAGGACTTGCTGCTTGATTGTCGCAAGGCAAAGTTTTGTGTTGAGTATTTTTGAATGGAGCGGCTGGAATTTCAGTCTTAGGCTTGTCATGTAGTGCATGACAAGCTGCTTCTTTGTGTCCAGTTTAATCTCAATACCCCACACCTATTGATAGGAATAGAGACATAAGAATTATCAAATTTTTGAGCAACTTTAAAAATTTGTAAAAAATTCAATTTTGATTGGAATCAACTCAAACTTTCTACACAACTTAAGTACATGTACATGTACATATACATGTATATGCATCTAAAAAATTATAAAAGTGCCAAATTCTCTCCTTTTCAATTTTGGTGAAATTTGGCCTGTGACCCAATACTATAGTACAGGGACTTTGTTCAAATTTTAGAGCAGCTTAAAAATTTTTTAAATGAGTTCAAAATTTTTACACAACTTAAAACAATCTTTTCCTCTCACTTCTATCCATCCCCTAACCCACATGTACATTACCTGCATTATACCATCAGTACCATACGACACAAGATTTAAGACTGGGTTCTTATTAATGAGCTGGTCTGTCTCTGATGAAGTCATCATCACAACAGGGCCATCGTGAGCAGGGCATGGCTGACCGATAAGGCAATCTCTTGCATAAAGTATTGCCAGACAACCTGACCTTAGACCAGCTAGCATTAAAGACCCAACAATGCTGTGATCAATCTAAAAATCAATTCAATTAGACCATGCATTACTATTAACATTGACAATATAATAATATAAAATGATCATGCAAATGTAGTTAGTGTTTTTTTAATTGCTCACCATATCAAGGCATGTTATTTCTTGCTGGGCATTAGATGGAGCCCAGAACTCAACAGGTATGCAAGGATTAAGTCTTGTATCGTAAACCACTATCTCGCCTGTCTTCAGTGCAACATAGAATACTTCCTCGGCCATATTATGATGTGCAGCTCTTAACATCTAAAATGCAATGTATATTGATGATGTATCACGTGTACTAAGTGTCTAAATTATCTCATTTTTCTTACCCTGGGGACTGTGAGAGGATAAAGTGCAGTTCTAGCTTTACCAGAGTGTGGAGATATGACCTTGATGAAACCGTGATAGGTTTGCACAATGTAGCGCTGCCTGCCATTATAATGCTTTACATTTATTGATTTTATAGGAGAATATAATGTTGTCAGCAGATCCTCAACCTGTTCAGTACAAAAAAGTTGTATCATGGATTTTTTCATCTTATTTCTTCCTCTACCTGTTCCAATATGAGCAAGCTACAGTTTGTCTGAGAATGGCACATGATGCGATTATCAAAGGTCAGTGAGGCAGCAGATATTGGAGACTGGAGATTATACTTGTGCAATGGTATGGAAGCAATATTTGATGACAAGCAAAAGAGAGCTTGAATTTCAGCAATGAGATTCCAAACTATGATTATTCCATCAGGATAGGAGGCAAAGAGATAGGGGAGCTCAGTGTGGATGAAGAGTGAGCATAAGTGTCTGTGAGTGCTTTTAAGAAGGGTCAGTGAACGATTGGTTTTGCCACCACTCCCTCTCATATAGCACATTAACTTCAAAGAGAAAGAAATAGTATATTTATAAATTAATATAAAATACTTGAAGTGAGCCATCTTCTCTTCCAACAGCAAGTAGTTCAGCAGGAGAATATATTGCTACACTATAGCAAAATAAATACTGAAGTTATTATCAATAAAATATATGGTTCATACTATGATAGTGGAACCCCGCTGTTGTTAGGAATGTAGTGTTGCTGATTCCGAGTCTATAAGCAAAAATTATTAATATGTAATACCTTATATGCGTGCATGTACCTCTGTGTTTACAATGTATATCCCTTCAATGCAAGTGATGCAGAGGAGTGGTGCATGGTAGCAGGTAGATAAGAAAACAATCAGCTAAGATTAAATAAGATTATTTATGCATGGGGATAATAAGTTAGCTGACTTCTTTTTCTCTCAGTCCTACATTTAGTGGAGGGCTAGCTTGAATAGCATTGAAAGTATCAGGCTATTGCAAAACAAGAAATGCTTTCATATAGTGATTATACCAGAAATTCAGTACTTGCAATGTCCAGCAGTGAACTAATCCAGGTCCAGCAGCAAAAATTTCGTTATTTTCTTCATCAAAACAAACGCTATGCAGGCATGCAAAAGTCAAATTTTCCATTATACATGTACATACCATGTTGCATTAAAGTGGGTGAAAACAGTTGTTAGCAAATCAAAGTATAAGTTATACACGCGAAGACGAAAGTCATTACAGAAGGCAATATAAAGCTATAATGGTAGAGAGAGAGAGAGAGAGTTAATTACATCATAGACATAGTGTAGCATAAAGGAAAGAAGACCCATGATGTAATGCTATTTCAAGGGATGACTGTGCTAATAGCAGTTATTAGACTTTTTACCTTCAGCTCACTTGAATACACAAGTTTTGCAACAACGACAGGTATTGTGTGTCTATTAAATGTTACAATAAGGTAGTACTATGTGTCATAATAGTTGCAGCTACTTTGAAATTCTTGGAAAATTGTCTGTGAGTGGATACTGGACAACAGTAGTGTTAGAAGCACCAGAAGTACACACTGTCAATATGTCAGGGCCTAAAAATAGACAAAACTTATGAATACTTTTATAGCTGAATAAAACATTGCAGCACATGCCTGTACTCTGCACCAGATGGCCACTACTAGTAAATTTAATAACTTTATCAATCTAAAAATTATTATAAATTGCAAATAGACAAGTTACAATGCTCCTGCTACCTTGAAGCCTCTTTGAACGTGCATCACTGTATCCCCATTCGCAGCAGCCATGACTATGTACCCGGGAATGCTACACGTGTTGCCAAGGATACACGTGTTACCATGGAGATGGTCATGCCCTGATAAACAAGTCAACGCGCCCTTGTCTGCCCTGAGCTGCTTCGCTTCACTGCACAGGAGAAGCACCATGCCTTTGAAAAAGGTTGGCAAGAAGAGGGAGCCATTATGGAAGGAATGGGACAGACAAGCACAGAAAGAAGGCTCTAGAAAGACGTTTTATGCTGTAGGAGGCGATGAATACACAGGAGATTGGCACGACAATAAAAAGCACGGTACAACTGAGCAGGAGTGTTTTAATAGTGCTTTATGTACCTGAATTTCTCTCTTCTCCATTGAAATTACTTCTATTACATTCCACAGGCAAAGGTGTTCAGATCTGGAAGCGTTCTGGTTTAAGATATGAAGGAGATTGGGCCAACGGGAACCGTCATGGCTATGGCATGCTTAGCCTGATAGTGAGAGACAAAGACGGAGAAGATCTAGTCAAGCAATATGCAGGAGGTTGGAAGAATGACCTGAGACATGTAAGTTCACAATAGCTAACAGTGATAGATGCACAGTTAGAATAGAACCATATGTAGATCAAAACTGTGTAGTGCTACTGTGTTAAAATGCTAAAATGCAATATCTACATGCATGCTACTTTGCATGCATGTTAATGAGTTTCACATCTCATCTTTTCTCTCCAGGGATATGGTACACAGTTTTATTCTTTGCCTGGAGAGTACTACGAGGGAGAGTGGTATGCCAACCAGAGAAGTGGGTGGGGCAGAATGTATTTTTCAAATGGATCTGTGTATGAGGGGGAATGGTTCGAGGACAAAAGAAACGGCAAAGGATTATTAAAATTAGGTAAAAAAAAATTTTAAATAAAGCAATCAATTTTATATTATTCTTTTTTATAATTAGCTAATGGGAACCGCTATGAAGGATTGTGGAAGGACGACATGAAACATGGAGATGGAAAATACCTATATTTAGATAAAGGGCAGATATACACTGGAGTCTGGTACAATGACATTGCAAAGTGTGGTTCAATGGTTGACTACCATTATGAGACTAATAATGCACCGAACAAACCTGATTTCCCCATTCCAGAGGTATGTGTGACTTGCATAAGCTGTTACTATGCATTCTCTTTTGCAGTGCAAGCTAAAAGATATCAGAACAGTTCTACAAGAAACTGCAACAGATTTAGAACATTGAAAATCCAAAAAAATATTATTTTAACAAGCCACGCCTAAAATATTCAGCCACGCCTATTAAATAATAATTATTGGCTAGAGCTCGATTTTCATACCTCTGCCGACTGCCGCTCTGCGCTAAGCTGCTTGAGTTCTGGTTCCGTCTTTACTGAGTCAGAGAAAGAAACAGGAGAAACACTAGGAAAAGAATAAGAAGGAGCGGTTAACTTAACTCACACTGGACTCCTAGACTAAATAAAATTAGCTTGTCTTGCTATCTTGTCCCGGCAGTGTTTGCGTCAGTCTAAAACCACAGTACAGCTCAGTCAGCAGGATGGCTGTTATGACGGATAGGCTTAATGAACTGGGAGTTCGAGATGTGGTAAGCAAATAAAACATAACAGAATTTCTTATTTTCAATTGTATCTTATCTTTAATTGTACAATGTTGATTTTCTACTAGAGCCCTGACCTGGAAGATGAAGATGGTGACTATTCATTTGAGGGATTCTTCCAAACTGTACGAACAATCACACACATAATGACACTCATAATGAAAATGCACTGTGTGTATATATTAGAGCCAGGATTGTTATCTTTATCAAAGTTTATTTGTCCAATGTCCCCTCTATCATTACACATAACAGCAATAGTACTGTAACTACATTGGACTATAAGCATCAGTATTACCATTCATAAATCCAATACATAAAGTATGATTGACACTAAAAGGACAAATGTATTGAGCGTCATTCATTTATATATTTTATATATGGAGGTATGATGATACAGCATGATTGATATACATGTAGGCACTCATCAATACTTTGTAGTCCATAATATCTTGGCTTGTAGTTCTCATGCACAGGGTATCATTCAATATAATAATAATGCCTTGTACATATACATTGAACAGTGTGTATGTGTCTGTGTGTGTACATATTCAAGTAGCCTGTTATGCTATTCAGCATGTTAGTTTAGCAAGTCAAATGATGACAACCTCTTGTGGTTTTTATGCCAATGAATAAGTTTATATGTACATCTAATAAGCACATATACACACATGTATACATAACCTTATTCCCAATTCTACTTTACTTACTATACATGTATGTATATGTAATTATGTAGCTTTCATCTTACTCTTTTCCTCTTCCTCTCCCTGTTACATGTACATGCACCTGTAGGTCAATCAGATGAGTAGGAATACAGAAAAGATACAACAGAAGCTAGACGAGATAAAGCAAGTCCAAGATGACATCATCACGAAACCTGCCACAGCAAACAAAGGTCAGAATAATGAAATGAATAAATAAATAGATCAAGAAATTATCATTATTGTTATGACAAAAATGGATAACTTTTTAGAAGTCAAATTTTTCCCATAAAAGCTTAAATGCAAAATTTGGAAGTCTTTTTTTCAATGGGTCAGGCACAAATTAAAGATTAGAAGTTCAAATATCCTATAATATAGGTGTGTATTATTATTTTAGTAGTAAAAGTACACTAACACCTACATGATACTGATAGTAAGAATAACAAAGCATGTTCATTACAGCCAAGTGTACTAGTATTCATAGTACTACCACATAGTACATACAAATGTAGTAATAATGTTTTCATAATTTTATTATTATAATTACTCACAGCTTACTCTAGACAGCAGCAACACGCACGGCACCGTTTATCAGTGAAATCTATTAGCCATGGACTATTGTAGTTTGTCGTTACTAATAATAGCTCATAGTATTTTAATTAGTTATGTTACTAATTATAGACCAAAACAAACAAATAGTGAGATGTACATGTACATGTATATGCAATATGGAAGCCTGTGTAATCACTGTAATGTAGTGTAGGAGATTCATGTACATACAGTACATATGTGGTCAAAGTGTTGTAAGTAAAATGGTTCTTTATTATTGTGATTGTAGTTGCTAAAGAAAGACATGCAGAGCTCATGGATGAAGTGAAACAGTTATCACAGACTGTCCATAGAGGATTGAAAAGTAAAAACATTATTAAAAAAAAGTCATTATACACTGACCTGTACATGTACATGTATATATTAATGTAATATTCCTTCTCTCTCTCTCTCTCTCTCTCTCTCTCTCTCTCTCTCTCTCTCTCTCTCTCTCTCTCTCTCTCTCTCTCTCTCTCTCTCTCTCTCTCTCTCTCTCTCTCTCTCTCTCTCTCTCTCTTTCTCTCCTTCTTTCTTACCCTAAGGATTGGATGAAGAAATAAAACATGATGAACTAGGACCAAACAGACACAATGCTGAGTTTAGGATAAAAAAGAGTCAAGTAAATCCAAAAAAGAGACAGAGACAAGAGTAGAGAGTCCAATTCATACTAATACACTAATAGCAGAAGCAGATAATATAATATGATATTTATAGGCAGCAGCTTTAAGTCAAAAGTTAAAGGCCGTCATGTTGGAATATAACCAGCTGGAGGAACAGCATAGAGAAAAGTGTAAGAAAGTAATCAAACGACAGTTACAGACAGGTAAGAGTATAAAATATACTGCAATAACTATTATTATGAATATCTGTTATACAATAGTTGATCCCTCACAAAATCCTTCGGATGACAAGGTTGAGGAGTTACTAGAGTCTCAGGATTTGTCAATCTTCACACAAGACGTAATATTTGAATGTACATCTACATGTACTAACACTAGAAAATATGTCATGGAAATATGTCATTGACTAAAATTAATAATTTGCAATTGTACATGTAGATATAGCTCTCCTAGACAATATAAAATATTTAATGTTTAATTTCCATTTCAAAATACCATGTCCATGTACATGTACATGTACATGTACATGGACATGTGTGTACAAGTAATTAAAATATTCTTTTCAGATATTAACTCAAACGGCTCAGAAGAGACAGGCACTGGACGAGGTTGAAGCAAGAAAAAGAGAAATCCTCCAACTAGAAGAAAACATAAAAGTGAGTGCACAATTATATTGCTTTACCCTCCGTAACCACGCCCTTATTAGGAACTCCATGACATGTTTTATGACATGATGCTCCTCGTTGAGTCACAGGTGAGACTATGGCTCGTTAATGACACTAACCACACCCACTTATGAATATTAATAGGGTGACCTTATAGATAATATCCAGCATAACGTAGAAACAGCAGCCGTGTACGTCATGAAAGGAACAGAGGAGACGACAAAAGCTCGAATATATGCCAGCAAAAATCGCCGGGTAAGACCACACCCTTTGACCACGCCCATTAACATACTCTTTCCCTTATAGTTAAAATGGATTATATGTGGAGTGGTGACTGCTGTGATACTGGGAATTGTGATTGCTATAGTAATTGCAGCTGCTATTGGGGCTTCTGTTGTACAGGGTAGGGGGTCTAGTAAGAGGTCGTTAAGGGAAGTTGATACATCTGAATCAATACTGGCTATTCTCCTACCATCCCACGATACAGTGGAGTAAAGGAATTGAGGATTATATGGTGATAATTGGAGCTTATGTGTTTATGATTATCGTTATTAATATTACACACGAGTGTAATCGTCATTGGGATTTATTTATTATCAACAATTTAATTATTTTAAATTTAAATGTACGTGCAATAGTCATTATCATTATTATTATTTCAATTTTGCTTTCTCTAATTCCTATCATTATTCATTGCCTTTTTATTACTATCATCATAATCATAATCAACATTATTATTATCATTATTAATTCATTATTTACAAAATTAAATGTTATCATTATCAATCATCAATAATGTAAGTGAAATTTTGAGAATTAAGTGTTAAAATGAAAATAAGTCAATTTCAAGTTGCACGATAGTCACAATACTGAACATCTATGCATCATTCTCACTCTCTCCACATATCTTGAGACATTCGTCAGCAAATTCTTTAAATATTGGTACTTCCATTAGCCGGTCTAGAATGGAGGCTGGGTCTGGATGTTTATCTAGTCCAGTGAGAACTTTCCTCAGGTGAGGATTGCAAAGCATGTCACGTAGAGATACGTTGAACTCTGTGGATTAAGATTTAAGAACAGCACATGTTGTCATTAATAAAAATAATGTATAATAATAATAATGAGAGTTTTAAAAGCCATTTTTGTTGCAAGATAGTAGGTGGTATAGAAATTACTCAAAAACTACTGATCTGAATCAAGTGAAATTCTACATAGCATGGGACATAGTACAGGGCATGGATTAGTAAATGAAATAAAAACTTTTAAAGGTTTAGAGCCATTTTTGTGGTTAATCATTAAAATTCTTAATTATTTTTATCAGTCACCTAATGATTGTAATTTTTCTTCAGGAACTTTATCAATGTCATCATCATCAGACTCGGACTGTAGCTCAACCTCCTCTCCCAACTCTCCTTCAGAATCACTTTCACTATAAGTCACTAGAGCATCCGCCATTAGTGTCTAAAATGAATAAAATTAATTTTTAATAGAGCTAGCAGCTAGAGTACCGAGAACCAATGAATTTAATTGTGGAGTGGCTGTTTGATTTGACAAATGTGAGAACACAATTGCGGGTTTATGGAAACAAAGAGTCCACAGTTGCGACTCATTCAGAGCATAGTCTACGCTTTATGCTCAGAGATGGAAGTAATGACTGACAGGCTGGCTGAACTGCGTGCGGATAAAGACACGGTAAGCCTAATAACTAAAGTAAAGATCATTACTGCTTTTAAAATTTTAATTTAAATAGTAATTGCAAGGCTGCAAAACATGTTCTTGCTGTCCTTCAGGGCACTTCTGATTTTTAAATAGTGCTGTATAATAGAATAATGAAGGATTGTTTCAACTCGATCTTCCCTAGTTCAATTTCAAGGCTTGCATGTCCTTTCTGATAATATTATTTTTAATATTCATTAATAATAATTATTATGTTACGAGCCTTTGGCAGGCTCCATAACTGTGGCTGTGTGACATAGGGTATTCTAGACCTAGATGCAAGTACATGTATAGGGTCAAGTTCATTAAGACTAGTGACTTATCAATTAAAAATCTTAATTTACTTTTATCAGATATCTTATTCTACATGTATCATAGAGTATTGATCTTGAAGATGAAGATGGTGATTGCACAGTTGTGAGCCCTGCATTAATTGATGGATTCCTTCAAACGGTATCACTTCACATATAATGTAACCATGCATCATACAATAAGAAGGCTAGCCTGCCATGGAAAGAACTGTAGTATAATTTTCTAACTGCTACCAGCCTACTACACTATACTATATTATATAGCTAAATTCTATAATATTTAAGGCACGGTAGCATGGCCCATAAACAAATTATTATGGCTTAAGATAAGCAGAGACTTTCTATGCTCAGTTCTGTCTGATCTTCTGGCTAAATATTATAACCATATAGATAACACAATGCACATCAGCAAGTGAGTATGGACAATCTCTGGCTCAGACTGGCTGACTACAAATATTTGCATGTTCCCACTTTCTCTCTGCTAGCATTGTGCCCCACAAAAGGACAAGGCAAGAGACTTTGTAAGCTCTTGCAATGTATAGGTCAATCAAATGAATAGAAATTTAGAAAGGCTACAGCAGAACCTTGATGAAATGAGGCAAATTCAAGAAAATGTTCGTGAATCAAGTGGTGAGTATAATATAAAAATTTTTATAAACAATTAGTATTTGTTAATACCTTTGTAGCTTTAAAAAAAAGATATCAAGAGGTGACAAATGAAATCAAACAAATCTCACTAAATATTTATAAAGGATTGAAAAGTATTTTAATGCAGTTTATTTTCCTGTTTTTTTAATTATGTACTCTTTCCTTTGGATACCTCTGCCACCCTCCCTAAGGCTTGAGTAAGGAGATTACCAATGAGTTGAGATCAAACAGACATAATGCTGAGTTTAGGATCAAAAAAGCTCAAGTAAATTTAGAAAAGAGAGTGAAGGAGGAAGAGAGATAAAAGTACTCTGCTGGAGTATATTGGCTGATATGTACTAACATATAGGAAGCAGCATTAAGACAAAAGTTAAAGAGACTCGTGTTAGAATATCAACAGCTGGAAGAGCAAAACAAAGAAAAGTACAGGGGGATGCTTAGAAGACAGCTACAGATAGGTAAAAGTATAAATACATTAGATCTATTATCTATTTCTATTAATTGACTAATTACAATAGTTGGTATTCATTATACATCCATTTCGGATGACAGATTTGAGGAACTGGTCTCACAAATTGAGAGCGGAATAGCCTTGACACAGGAAGATGTGAGTGCATAGAGATAATAATTCATATAAAAAAATTACTTGAAAAAAGCTTTTTCATGTATTTGAGTTTCATAGACAATGTACTACTATACAAAAGAAGTTTGTTGTGGTGCTAGCATTTTCACCCTATAGTTAATTTTCTTCTCAGATATTGAAACAAACTAATCAAGAAAGACAAACACTTAAAGAGGTTGAAGCAAGAAAGATCTCTGAACTAGAGAAAAATGTGAAAGTAAGTATTATCTTACACACAACTATTGGTCAGTCTCAGAAATCATATTTCTTATCAGGAGCTCCATGACATGTTTCATGAGATGACAGTGCTCCTAAATGATGAATCACAGGTGAGACAACCACCCATCAATCACAAACTAACCACCACACCCTCTTATTAGGATGAGAATGATTTTATAGCAGACAATATTGAGCACAATGTAGAAAATACAAAAGATTACGTACCAAAAGCCACAAAAGATTATGTACCAGAAGTCACAGAACCGATAGAGATAGCAAGAAATTATCCCAAAAAAACCAGTGTAAGACCACACCTAGCTATCAACCACTCTCATCCACTTTCCTCCCCATCTATAGTTAAAATGGATGATGTGTGGAATTGCTACAATAGTGATAGCTATATTTCTCCTAATCATAACCCTGCCTGTTGCCCTAGTGATTATCATTATAATAATTATCATTGTGAGTATTGCTGTTGGCATTGGCTCTTGTCGACATCAAGAGACTCAAGACAATTGAATATTGAATTTTGTGTATGAGTGACACAATAATATACTATCTATAGATATAAATAATTTGTAGTAAAATAGAGTTTTTAGAAGTAATTTTCATTGATCAAAATGTTAAGTTACCTAATGACAGACAGAATCAATCGCTTTGACTATCAGCTACTACACTAAGAAGGTAACTCCTATCATTAGTCTCACAAAAAGTGTTAAATTCTACCACTTTCATTTTTTAATAATAAGTATTAATAATTAATCAATAAGTTAATTAAAATTACTTGGTAGAGGATTTTTGTTTTTTCATTTCTTTATTATATTCTTCTCTCTTTTCCTTGAGCTCTCTCACCTAAAAGAAATTAAAAAACAACTTACACAATACACACGTAACAAAAAATAATGAATTATTGATCATCATTATCAGTACAAAAATTCCACCATCAAACATGACTACAAAAACTTGAAACTCACCCTTCTTGATTTCTTGTTCCTCTTCTCCATTATCCTGTCATACAGTTTCCGTCTGGTCCTAGTCATCATCATCACTGCTAGTTTCCTCTCCTCTCTCTCTTGCTTGGCCTCGGCCTCCATTCTCTGAGTCTCCTCATCTTTTTCTTTACTCACTCCATCTCCTTCCACCACAGAGCCTACTGGTAGATTCATGGCAGGTGCAATCTATAATAAACAAAGAAATGGAGGAATAGGTAAATAGTTTGTGAAACAATGTTGAGTGATGTTAAAGAGAGAGAGGGGGGAGAAAGATTCATTCAAAAGCTAACAGGTAATTTTCTTCTTTTAGGTGAAGGAGGTTTTAAAGCTTCAACATCTTCGTCTTCCTCGCCCTCTCCCTCATCCTCCCTCTCCTCCAAGTCTTCCTCCTCCTCTCTCTCTTCTAAATCCTCATCTTCCTCCTCTCCTTCCTCTTCCTCTTCTTGTTCTTCGGTTTTATCTTCTGCCAGCATCATCTTATCTGGTGGTATGTAATCACCTTCACCGTCTCTTGTGAAAGGAGAGAGATGAGGAGGGAGGGAGGTCTGAGGTGAGTACTTGTCCGTTGGCAGGAGTTTACGGAAATTAATACTATCATAGACCCACTGAGGCTGTATATAAACCCTGGGTAAAAGAAAACCAAAAAAAGAGAGAAAGAAATGAAGGATGTAAACACAAAGAATAAGATTAAGAAACAGTATGAGAGACAAGGTATGAAAGTATACAATAGTAACAATATTAACATTTAAAACTACATCAACTATTCTACAGCAGACCTTGATAAGTAGGAATGGTTCATTGACGGTCTATCAACAATCTCATGCGTTATACGCTCGTCTGATTCAGGATAAGTAGAACCACGCCCACAAGATGGGTCCCAGGAAACGCTCCCACCAAAACACCTTTAAAGAAACGATAAACCTTTTTTCTACGTGTAAAATTAATAGTCTCTACTTGATTATAAAAGTGAGCGATTCTTTGGGAACTTCACGAGAGAGGAAGAACTTGAGACCTTCAAATAAAGTTTTAAATTCGTCGAGTTTCTCTCGTTCTTCTCTTGCTTTGTCACGGCGAGCTTGCTCCTCCGGCTAGTAAAATAAATCACTTATAATTTAGCTTTATTTGATTATTATTACGTCTAAATCTGTTGGTATATCTTCCTCAATTAGGTCATCAGTATCAGCTGGGAAAGGAAAAATACATTTTCGATATAAATTATTTTTCACTATTATTATCAATATCGCCAGGGTTTTCTACAAAGCATGCTACGTTAGCTAAAAGCATGCTTCATGAGTTATAATAGCACGTGCAGCTTTTGGACTAATTTTAAAAATTCATTAAAAAATCTAATTTTGATCAGAATCAGCTCAAACTTTCTACACAACTTAAGAACATGTATATGCATCAGAAAATATTATAAAAATGAAGAATTCTCTCCTAGACATTTTTGATGAAATTTGGCCAGTGACCCTGTACTATAGTACAGGGACTTTTGCCTGATTTTGGAGTAACTTTAAAAATCCATAAAAAATTTAATTTTGATCGGAATCAGCTCAAACTTTCTACACAACATAAGAACATGTATATGCATCAGAATAAATTATAAAAATAAAGAATTCTCTCCTAGACATTTTTGATGAAATTTGCTCAAAAACTGGAAATTGAAAACTCTGATTAACAAACCTGTTGGTGTTTCAGGGATCTTAACAAGTGAATGAGAGAGAGACTCTAGAAGCTACACACAACACAGATAATAAAGTGTGCATTAAATAGAACACTCACTTCTCTATATTCCCCTTTATCTCCATCATTTTCATACTCAACTTCATTCGGATTGACTAGGAGTGAGGGCAGCTGGAGAGAAAGCTCAGTAGAAAAATATCCCTCCAACTAAAAATTGAAGAAAACAAGTTACATTTATAAATATAATGATGTTTGGTATTAATTCTGTACATGTAGCATAACAAGATAGATATCAAGAAAATGTAAAAAATTGGAGTAATTTTGGAACCAATTTTTAGAAAAAAAACATGACAATTGCTATATAATGGTGAGCCACACCCACTAATGCTTACCTGAGGTGGATAACGTAAGTTGAGAGAATGAAACAATCTAAAGTTGACAAACGTCAGTAGTGTTGTATAGAACTCGACAAAAGTGTTCATGATACGAAAATCAACTTCCCTTGGAATCTAAGAGAGAAAATATAAAGGAAAAATAAGGGAAGTGTATCCAAAAGAGAAGACAAAAAGAAACTATTTCTTACTCTTTGAGGAAACTGATGTGGTGTAAGCCATGTTATAGTCTGCCCTTGTATTTCAGCTTGATAATAAATACCTTTAATTGATATGAATACCTACACATACAATAATAATAATAATGGATATTAATAATTGATGATTGCCACACCTTCCTAAGAGATTTTGAGGCTATGATGTAATGCATGAATTCTAATAATAGCCTCTTGCATAACTGACTCACAGACGCCTAAAAAACAAACAAACAAATAAACAAATAGATACTACTACAATCTCATACCTTTATCTTAAGAGATGATAATGTACTGTATAATGACACCATAGTCAGTACATCGTCAATATCTCTCAAGGCATCCACAAAAGTTGGATACCTCTCCTTCACCATACGGTCAAGAGTGTACAACGGTCTGTGCTCCTCGAGACTCGCAATTTTAACTTTGTCGTCGTCATTGAAAGCTCTCTTAAGCTTCTTGACAAATATCTTAAAGTCCCTTCCTTTTTGCAGTAGAGGCTCGTGTGCCAACCAAGCAATGTCTTTACGGTAATAGTACGTCTTGTAGACCGAGCTACCCTTGCTGACCTTTCGTCGATGACGAGGCTCTTGAGGATAAATACCCTTGAAGATGCAGAGACGCCTGTGGAATGGGAGTGGTTAATGATCACGTGATCTTATTAACTGACCTGAATTCAGGCATTGATATCTGTAGTTTCCTCATTGCTTGACTGCGTGAGTAGTAGGTGGTTGCAAGCCCACTCTCTCCCTATTAATGTGTAGAAATAAGATAAAATAAAGGTATTAGCCGCTTACTTTCTTTTTTTCTCTACCCATGATTGTACTTGTGAGACCACGTGTGTAGGCGTGGTCCAAGCAATATCCGGAGCATTGTTTCTATCCGGATAGCTACCGCTTTGCTCAACACCCACCCAAATTATTGTAGTGGGTGGGGCTGGTCTTGCATTGTTGAAAAAACTTTGTTAAAAGCAATGGAAGTGATGCAATATATTGTACATTATTGTATGTTGCAGCAAAAATTATATGAAGCTTTGTGATAGTTCTGAGAGTTCTCTGTTAACCGGATTCTGTACAGTAATGTCAGTGTTATTACCCCTCAGAAGACAAACAGCTACAACTGCTATGATGGCTACAGCACTACACAGCAGATAACCCAGCGCAGCTGTGAGGATAAAAAATGAAGTCAAAAAATGGAGAATTTATTAAGATTATCATTTCCATTATATTTGAATATTCCATACCCTTGTGTTCTCGTTTTGCATCATTCTAGCTGAAGTAACTGTTGTTTGTGTACCAGGTTCCACATAGGCTGCTGCGTTATCAACATTATATTCAATATTATCAGCAAGATCTCCCTATATACATAAATGTATAAATATACACAGTATAGTTGATTAATTGTGATTAATGTCCTACTTGAGGCTCATTCAGAAGCATGAAGTCATAGAACATGTCATAAAGTTCCTAAATCAGAAGGTTAGTAAATTATATATTCAATAGACCAATACTTTTAAATTTTGCTCCAGTTTACGTATTTCTGTTCTTCGAGCCTCTACTTCATCAAGAACTTGTTTCTTCAGAGATGGTTGAATTAATATCTAAATAATATAGTTATTACAATAATACAAACAGCAATAAAAATGCATAATAAACTCACACTTTCATGAAATACAGATACTTCATTTGACTCCAACATTTCTTCAATTTTTCCATCAGATAGATTAGCTGTAGGATCAACTGAATAATCATTAATATAAATATTATATTAGTCATATAATAACAGTCATACTACCTATTCGCATTTGTTTTTTTATCACATCTTTGCATTGCTCTTTGTACTGTTCCCCCAGCCGAGTATAGACTGACATGATATTCTTTAGTTTACGGCTCAAGGCAGAATACTACAAGTATGAATAATATTAAAAATTTTTACTGCCTCATATAACAAGCTAGTTGATGTTTAATTAAAAATCAACTACAATACTAGGCAGATAACTTACATGACTTTTCTTTATTCTTAGTTCAGCTGAGTTTCTTATAGGGCCCAGTTCATCACGTTTAATGTCATCCTGAAAGCCTAAATAATTAATTAAAAATTGAACTTATTAACATGCATGCTTAGCTATTTACGCTTTAATCCTTTCTGAACAGTTTGTGACTGCTGGTTAATCTCTGCCAGAAGCTTTGCATACCTCTCTTTCAAAGCTATTGTGCAGCAGAATAAAGAGTATAGTTGCATAAAAACCAAGACAAACAGGTGTACCTCCATTTTGACTTAATGGACTTGTGGAAATTTCATATTGAAGACTACGAACTTCATTCAACTTCAGCTCAATCTCATCCACTTTTCTATTCAATTCAGAAGCCTAGAGACAGTATATAAATCAAAATTTGTTTTGCAATTATTACAACACTAGGAGATATTAATCTACTACATTTACTTAAGCAGTATCATACAATAAAGCAATAATAACAGAATGCTAGGCATAATGTCTGACCTCAAGAAGCACCACATCTTCCTCATACTCATTCTCTTTCTCATCCTCTTCTATTTCCATATTCTAAAGGATAAGAGTTTTAACTGATACAGCTACCTTATAGTCAACTCTTACTCTTCTCCTAAGCTCTTCGAGCCTATCAACAAAAATGTCAGCCATTAAAGATATAGAAAGGGGCAAGAGAAAGAGAGAACTCTGCAAATTGAAGGTGAGGCTGGAAGCAAGCTAATTAATTAAAAGTTATTATATCAACAGTCATGTGACCAAGCAAAGGCGTGGTCTATGTTTCATGGTTAATGACCTGAATTGCGGCATTGATATCTGTAGATTCCTCATTGCTTGACTGCGCGAGTAGCAGGTGGTTGCAAGCCCACTCTCTCCCTATTAATGTGTAGAAATAAGACAAAATATAAGGCATTAGTGGCTTACTTTCTTTCTTTCTCTACCCATGATTGACCACGTGTGTAGGCGTGGTCTATTCAGTATCCTGATCATCGTTTTTATCCGGATAGTTACCTCTCTGCTCATCACCCACGCAAATTATTTAGTGGGTGGGGCTGGTCTTGCATTGCTAAAAATTTTTTTTGTTGAAAGCAATGAAGCTGATGCAATATATATGCATACATATTGTACAATACAACTTTATGTTGCAGCAAAATTATATGAAGCTTTGTGATAGTTTTGAAAGCTCTCTTTTAACCGGATTCTGTACAGTAATGTCAGTGTTATTACCCCTCAGAAGATAAACAGCTACAACTGCTATGATGGCTACAGCTATAACCAGAACAATGATGATAGTGGTCACTACACAGCAGATAATCCAACACAACTGTGAGGATAAAAAAGAAAATTAAAGATAAAATGGAGAATTTATTAAGATTATCATTTCTATAATAACTATTTGAATATTTCCTACCCTTGTGTTCTTTTTCTTCAATCTAGATGCAGCAACTATTGCTTTTGTACCAGATTCAACATAGGCTGCTGTTTTCTCAACATTATATTCAATATTATCAACAAGATCTCCCTATATACATAAATGTATAAATATGCTGAGTACAATTGATCAATTGTGATTAATATCCTACTTGATACTCAATGAGAAGCATAAAGTCATGGAACATGTCATAAAGTCCCTAAATCAGAAGGTTATTAAATTATAAATTCAAGAGACTGATACTTTTAAATTTTGCTCCAGTTCATGTATTTCTGTTCTTCGAGCCTCAACTTCATCAAGAACTTGTTTCTTCTGAGATTTATCAATTAATATCTAAATAATATAATTATTACAATAATACAAACAGCAATAAAAATGCATAATAAACTCACATCGTCAGTATATATAGACACTTCATTTGACTCCAACATTTCTTTAATTTTTTCATCAGATGCATCAGCTTTATTAGCTACATAATCATTAATATAAATATTATATTAGTCATACAATAATAGTCATACTACCTTGTCGCATTTGTTTTTTTATCAGATCCTTGCACTTTTCTTTGTGCTGTTCCTCCTGCTGACTATAGACTGACATGATATTATTTAGTTTACAGTTTAAGGCAGAATACTACAAGTATAAATAATATTGCAACTTATTATTGCCTCATATAACAAGCTAGTTCATTTTTAAAAAATCAAACTACAACACTAGGCAGATAACTTACATGACTTTTTTTAATTCTTAGTTCAGCTGAATTTCTTTCAGGGCCCAGTTCATCACGTCTAATGTCATCCTGAAAGCCTAGTAAATTAATAAAAAATTGAACTTATAGCATGCATGCTTAGCTATTTACGCTTTAATCCTTTCTGAACAGTCTGTGACAGCTGCTTGATCTCTGCCAGAAGCTTTGCAAGCCTCTCTTTCAAATCTATTGTGCAGCAGAATAAAGAGTATAGTTGCATAAAACAAGAATGACAGGTGTACCTCCATTGTGACCTGGTGGGTTTGTGAACATTTCATTTTGAAGTTCACGAACTTCATTCAACTTCAGCCCAATCTCATCCACTTTTCGATTCAATTCAGAAGCCTAAAGACAGTATATAAATCAAAATGTGTTTTGCAATTATTACAACAGGAGATATTAATCTATTACGTTTACTGAAGCAATATTATACAATAAACCAATAATAACATAATGCGAGGTTACATAATGTCTGACCTCAAGAAGTACCACATCTTCCTCATACTCATTCTCATCCTCTTCTATTTCCTTATTCTAAAAGATAAAAGTTTTACAGATGCAACTACCTTATAGTCAACTCTTACTCTTCTCCTAAACTCTTCGAGCCTATCAACAAAAATGTCAGCCATCAAGGGACGAGAGAAAGAGGGAGAGAGAGAACACAAACCCTCCATATTGAAGGTGAGGCTGGAAGCAAGCTAATTAATTAAAAGTTATTATATCAACAGTCATATGTGACCTAGCAAAGGCGTGGTCTATATTTAATAGTTAATGACCTGAATTGCGGCATTGATATCTGTAGTTTCCTCATTGCTTGACTGTGTGAGTAGCAGGTAGTTGCAAGCCCACTCTCTCCCTATTAATGTGTAGAAATAAGACAAAATAAAAGGGATTAGTGGCTTACTTTCTTCTTTTCTCTACCCATGATTGTCACTTGTGAGACCACGTGTGTAGGCGTGGTCCTAGCAGTATCCGCAGTATCGTCTTTATTAATGAAAGGTCAACAGTGTCATACCTCCTCTGAGCTACCTCTCTGCTCAACACAATTATTGTAGTGGGTGGGGCTGGTCTTGCATTGTTGAAAAAAAACTTTGTTAAAAGCAATGGAAGTGATGCAATATATTGTACATTATTGTATGTTGCAGCAAAAATTATATGTAGCTTTGTGATAGTTCTGAGAGTTCTCTGTTAACCGGATTCTGCACAGTAATGTCAGTGTTATTACCCCTCAGAAGATAAACAGCTACAACTGCTATGATGGCTACAGCTATAACCAGAACAATGATGATAGTGGTCACTACACAGCAGATAATCCAACGCAACTGCAAGGATAAAAAAAAGGAAATTAAAGAAAAATGGAGAATTTATTAAGATTATCATTTCTATAATAACTATTTGAATATTTCCTACCCTTGTGTTCTTTTTCTTCATTCTAGCTGCACCAACTACTGCTTTTGCACCAGATTCAACATAGGCTCCTGCTTTTTCAACATTATATTCAATATTATCTACAAGGTCTCCCTATGATATGCACAGTATAGTTGATCAATTGGTAATGCCCTACTTGAGAATCAATGAGAAGCATAATGTCATAGAACATTTCGTAAAGTTCCTAAATCAAACGATTAGTAAATTTTAAATTCAATAGACTAATACTTTTAAATTTTGCTCCAGTTCACGTATTTCTGTTCTTCGAGCCTCTACTTCATCAAGAACTTGTTTCTTCTGAGATGTTTGAATCAATACCTAAATATAATAATTAGAATAACACAAACAGGAATAAAATTGCATAATGAACTCACATCTTGAGTGAATACGGACACTTCATTTGACTCCAACATTTCTTCAATTTTTTCATCAGATACATCAGCTTTAGAATCAACTGCATAATCATTAATATAAGTTTTATGTTAGTCATACAATAATAGTCATACTACCTATTCGCATTTGTCTTTTTATCAGATCCTTGCACTTTTCTTTGTGCTGTTCCTCCAGCTGAGCATAGGTTGACATGATATTCTTTAGTTTACGGCTCAAGGCAGAACACTACAAGTATATACAAATAATATTGCAATTTTTTATTGCGTTATAACGAGTTAGTTGATTTTTAAAATCAAATTACAATACTAGGCAGATAACTTACATGACTTTTCTTTATTCTTAGGTCAGCTGAATTTCTTTCAGGGCCCAGTTCATCACGTTTAATGTCATCCTGAAAGCCTAAAAAATTAATAAGAGAAAATTGAACTAATTAGCATGCATGTTTAGCTATTTACGCTTTAATCCTTTCTGAACAGTTTGTGACAGCTTCTTGATCTCTGCCAGAAGCTTTGCATGCCTCTCTTTCAAATCTGTGCAGGAGAATAAAGCCATAATAATAGTTTCATAAAAAAGAAGACAAACAGGTGTACCTCCATTTTGACTTGATAGGTTTGTGACAATTTTACCTTGAAGGTCGCGAACTTCATTTAACATCAACTCAATCTCATCTACTTTCCGATTCAATTCAGAAGCCTAAGAAATGCAGTAAATTAAAATGTGTTTTGCAATTATTACATTACATGTACTACATTTACTTAAGCAATATCATACAATAAAGCAATAATAACAGAATGTGAGGTTACATAATGTCTGACCTCAAGAAGCACCACATCCTCCTCATACTCTTTCTCATCCTCTTCTATTTCCTTATTCTAAAGGATAAGAGTTTCAACAGATACAGCTACCTTACAGTCAACTCTTACTTTTCTCCTAAACTCTTCGAGCCTATCAACGAAAATGTCAGCCATCAAGGATATAAAAAAGTGGCGAGGGAAAGAGGGAGCGAGATAACACAACCACCTCTGCAAACTCTGCAAATTGAGGGTGAGGCTGGAAGCAAGCTAACTAATTAAAAGTTATTATGTCAATAGTCACGTGACTGCATCACGTGACCTACCAAAGGCGTGGTCTATGTTTCGCAGTTTTTGGCGGTACTTTGTGAAGAGAGGCGAGTGAAAATGGCCCAATTTGATGTCTCTCTCTTATCCGGCGGTGCTATTAAAGTAGCCACACTAATATTTAAGCTTATTTTTCTTTCTTGTAGGCTTCAATGGAAGGACAGGCTCCTCCAAGCCCTCGATTACAGATTCTGGTGAGTTCCCTAAAAGTCACGTGATCCTCACGTGACAGGTTCTATTTAAATAGGGTATTAAAGGTTTTACAAATGATTCTCGTGGAGGCGGAGCCCAAAAGTATCGAATACAAGTATCAGATGGTATTCATTGTGGAGCAGGTATGTACATTACATGTACACGTATATGTGTTATTAGCACCACACCCACTTAAAATACTAATTTAAATGATAATAAATTCTAATTTTTTATTTTAATGTCTACATGTACATGTATTTTAAATATTTACATGTAATTTTGACGTAAATACATTAAAAAAATACTAATGCTTTTAATTAAAGTGATTTATGTATATATTTTAATATTCAGGAATGTTGGCTACTCAGTTAAATGAGAAGATCACTTCAAACGAGATCAGCAAATATTGCATTGTTCGTGTTGACAAGATGCTGATAAATTCCATTGGTGCCAAAAAGTAAGTGAAATAACAATCTCCTCATTACTCGTGCCTAATTTTAGTAAATCGTCATACTTATATTTAGCAACATGTGCTATATTTAACTGAATTAGTATAATAGAAAGAAGATAAAAGTGTAAAATTTAGAGTAAAAAGAGAGAGAAAGAATTCAATTGTTCTTTTTGTATTAAAATACATACAAAGTCACTTCTGCTCCTTTTCTCCATAGAGTAATGATATTCATTAAACTCACTGTGCTGTACAGTGCTCAAGATGTTGGTGGGATGTTAGGAACTCCTCGTCAGCTTAACTCCGACAGTGCTGACTCTAATTCCACTACTCCAACTGTCAAAGACGAGCCTTTAGCCCGCCCTCCTCTTGCTCAACGCTCACAAGTGGGTGTGGCACCAGCACCAGTTGCGCCTCAGCCGATTCAGACTCCGCCTAGATTTTATGGTAACTCGGCTCAAAGGACAGGAGGAATGGGAGGGGCCAGTAATTTAATGCAGTCACCTGGGGGTGGTACTAAGAATGTTGTGCCTATAACTGCATTGAATCCATACCAGAATAAGTAAGCTACTCAAGTAATTTTTGATTTATTTTTAATTTTTACATTTGATTTTCAATTTTGACCTAATTATTTATTTTTAATTTTATGCACAGTTTTAATTCTTATAATTTTAATTTATTTTTAATTTTATGATTTAGTTTTAATTTTAATATTAAATTTTTATCTAATTTTAAGGACACTATTTACTCTCCTCCTTTTTACCTTAAATCTTTTTCTCTCTCTCTTCTCTTCTCAGGTGGACGATAAAGGCGCGGGTCACTTCAAAACCTCCTCTAAGACATTATAATAATTCTCGTGGAGAAGGTCGTATTTTGACGCTAGAGTTTGTTGACCATTCTGTAAGGAAAAACATACTTTATTTAATAATTAATAATAATAATAATAATAATAATCATTCTATCTTTCTTCCTTCTCTCTCTGTTAGGGTGAGATCAGGGCTACAGCATTCAATGAAGACGCTGATCGTTTCTTTCCAAATGTTGAAGTGAACAAGGTCAATAATCAGACCACACCTACCATTAATTAATGAATATTAATAGGTTTATTACGTGTCGAGAGGTCGTATCAAACCAGCCAATAAAATATATTATGCTAACAATGATTATGAATTGACGCTTGGAGCTGAGACAACCATTGAAGAGGTAGAGGGAAAAGAGTACATGTTCATGTATATATGAGACTTACATGTACATGTATATATGTACATGTATGTATGTACATGTGTATACTATGTCCCAACTGAGAATGGACCGAAAGTGGAAGCAGCTGCATTGGAATTTGAAAAATGTAGCTACATCACTATGATGCATTATAATGATATTCATAGAGATATTCATATATATATATATATATATATATATATATATATATATATATATATATATATACATGTACATGTATATACATACATGTATGTACATGTATATATGTTCACATGAGACATACATGTGTACATGTATTATTGTTGTTATGATTATATATGTAGGGTTTTCCACTGGATTTTGGCATAGTGCTCATGCAGCTTCTTGCCTGTGAATTGGCATTGCTCAAAAATTGAGACAAACTTCCTGTACTGTAGTACAGAGTATTTTTCTTTCTAATTTTTTTGATACATATACATGTTCTTATGCTGTGTATCAAGTTTGAGCTGATTCCGATCAAGATTGGATTTTTATGAATTTTTAAAGTTGCTCCAAATGCCATGTACTGTATTGTAGTGCTTGTCAGCTCATGAAGCTCTGCTGTTTAGCTCACTTAGCATGTTTCGTGGGAAAACCCTGTGTACATGTACATGTTTACATGAAATGTACATGGATATAAAGTATTTTTTTTAATTTTAGTGTTTTGATGATGTTAGTGACATGCCTTCAACTGCCTCTTTTAATTTCACGTCAATTGGAGACTTGGAATCCAAACCTAAGGACAGCATTATTGGTGAGTAGGAGAGAGAGAGAGGAAGAGGGATTGTATGACTTATGTTTTCCCTCCACTCTCTCTCCCTCTCTCTTTCTCTCTCTTCAGATGTCATTGGTGTGTGTGTTTCTGCTGCTGAGTTGGGTTCAGTGACTGTCCGTTCCAGTAATAAAAAGGTTGTTAATATTACATTATAAAGAGTGAGAGATAGAGATTATTATTCTTTTTTTCTTGTTTAGGTATCAAAGAGAGACATTACTTTAGTTGATAGAAGTGGACGAAGCATCATATGCACAATTTGGGGAACATCAGTAAGATGATGATGATGATGATCATGATGATCATGATCATGATCATAATAATAGTAATAGTAATAGTAATACCTTAGAGTAACTTTTAATTACAAGTACAAAATATAACTCTCAGTAGGTTATGTGGGCACTAATAATTACGATTGGTAAATCTATAAAGCATATCTAATTGCAAAATCAGCAATTAATTATAATGATGATGATAATAGTAATAGGTAAATGTAGAACTATCATTTAAATGGGCCAGCTTCAATGCAATAGCATTAGTAACCACTACAGCACAGACTTTTTGTCTTCAATAAAGGCAACTTTCATAGTTACATGTTCTTCCTTTCCATTACAAAGCTAATTGAATTGGCAACAGCAACAGTGTAATCAATTGCATGCCATACAGAATTAGAGTGTGGCACAGTTTCCTGTAAGTGTACTATTCATAACACAAACAAAAAATATAACGGAAATATGGAGAAGTCTTTGCTATTTTGTAGTGCTATTCTGCTGATATGTTCTATTCCATCAGCTCTGCAATCATGTTCTCATGAGGTATCTTGCGATGAAATAAAAAAGTATTGGCCAAACAGTCCTTCAAAGAACTATACCGTTGCACATAAAGTAGGAAAAAACTGTTTACTGTAATATGGAGGAAGAGCTGTGTGGTTCAGGAGGAGGATGGACAAGACTAGGACATCTGAATATGACTGATGGTACACAGAACTGTCCTTCTGGGTTTAGACTGTACCATACTCGAAAAAACCCCGCTATACGGTACTCACCGAGAAACCATGGTTCATATAATATGTGCTATATTTACTGTGAGATCTATGGGATCTACCAAGGACGGATGCGCGTTTTGCCCATTTGCTAGTATATCAAACACTATCCCTCTCTTTTATTTCTTGACAGAAACAATAAAGGCCTTCTTGGAACTTCTCTTTAGCATTTATCTCCGCAGGAGCTTTATTTTTGTAAATACAGTTGCGAATAGCTGGGTCTAGCCTACTACTGCCATGTGCTGGATACTGCGCATGGGCAGATTGCTCTTGCCATTTGCATCTCATTATTGATAAACTTACCCAATGAATCTTATTACCAATACCCTCGCCTCTTGCTAATACATACCCCAATGAATCTCATTATCTTGCAGTGAATATTGCTAACTGGCTGTGGGTTAGGTGTACACTGAATGGCTTGTGTACCACCTTGCGGTCCCTTTGATCTTACAGTAACTATGGTACATGACAATCCATATTCTATGCATCTGATCCATTGTGGGATGGTAAACGATGTGGTAGTCTTGAAGGTAATTGCTGTAATGCTACTGGTCTTCCATGTTTCAACAAGGTACTTGGTACTACCACTACTGACTACCTCAAGATGATGAAGATACTCCTGTCAGCTTTTATGAGTTGTACAGTATGTCAAATAAGCATGCATTGTTAAACAAAAATAAGTGTATAATAGGACTTATTTTATTATAATAATTTGTTACTGTTCTTTGTGATTTAATCATAACATCAGATATTTATGAAAGTATGACAAAATCTTAGTCACTTTAAGCCCAACATACACTAGGCAACATATTGCTAGCAACTAATGTGCTTACTTTGATTTTGTATCTAAGAATAGAAATCTGTTCTTTTTATGGAAGAATTTGATACAAGATCAAAGTAATCCCAAATGTTGCTAGCAACATGTTACCTAGTGTATGTTGCATAATTATTCTTGCATCAACTCAATTCACATTATGTTTAGAGGATATGAATAAATAATAAGTGGGGTGACTTGATTCAGGTAACTTGGGCGTGGTCCATCCTTATTATTTACGTTTTGAGAATGGAAGTAAAGCGAAAGTATGAGGTAGTGCCATCAGATCCTGCACAAAGTCAGGAGAACCAGTACGAAATGGTTCCTGTTGATACTAATGCAAGGAGGGACAGTGTTAAATCGACAGAAGAAGTATCAAAGCAGTCAGTATGGAATACACCATTGGTTGTCATCACTGTATTGCTGTGTCTCATGGTATTCTTACTGGTGGTAATACTTTGCTTATCACTGGTGCAATTGTCTGCTTCATGTACCAGCACTAGTACAGCTACTGTCTGTAGCTATTCTGAATGGTGTGATGATAAAGTTAACAGCCATGTAACAGGGAGCCTCCCTGACTTCGATGAATGGGCTAATGATGTTGTATCTAAAGTTAACCAGACCCTTCCTGATTTCAATCAATGGGCTAAAGGTGTCATCTCTGAAGTTAACAGTAATGTAACACAGAGCCTTCCTAATTTCGATCAATGGGCTAATGGTGTTGTATCTAAAGTTAACCAGACCCTTCCTGATTTCAATCAATGGGCTAATGGTGTCATCTCTGAAGTTAACAGTAATGTAACACAGAGCCTTCCTAATTTCGATCAATGGGCTAATGGTGTTGTATCTAAAGTTAACCAGACCCTTCCTGATTTCAATCAATGGGCTAAAGGTGTCATCTCTGAAGTTAACAGTAATGTAACACAGAGCCTTCCTAATTTCGATCAATGGGCTAATGGTGTTGTATCTAAAGTTAACCAGACCCTTCCTAATTTCAATCAATGGGCTAATGGTGTTGTATCTAAAGTTAACCAGACCCTTCCTGATTTCAATCAATGGGCTAATGGTGTGGCACAGAATACGGCTCAGTTACTGCAAAACTCTCCAAACTTCACTGAACTTGAAGGACAAATCTTACAAACTACAACAGATTCTGCACAAAAGCTAATAAACATTGTCAATACTCTCTCTAATCTAGAAGACACCAGTACCTCTACTGCTGGAGTGGTTGATGATATACTACTAATAGCACAAGAAATATTAGCACTTCACAATGACTCAACTGCTTTACCTACCTCTTGTAAAGAGATTAAAGAGAGACAACCACTCAGTCCATCAGGTGTGTATCTACTGGCAAATACCATTGCTACTTACACTGCTTACTGTAATATGGAGGAGCTGTGTGGTTCAGGAGGAGGATGGACAAGACTAGCATATTTGGATATGTCTGATGCTACACAAAATTGTCCCCCTGGGTTTAGACTGTACCAGTCAGGAGGAGTTAGAGCTTGTGGTAGAGCAACATCAAATGATGCCAGTTGTGTATCAGTTCAGTTTCCATCTAATAGTATCAGTTACTCTCAAGTGTGTGGTAGAGTAGTGGGATATCAATATGCTTCAACTGATGCAGTTGAACATGGCCTATGGAATAATCCACAGAAACATGTTGGAGGGACTGATCCTAAACACAATGACATTAATTCTTATTATGTTGATGGTGTTAGTATTACTCGTGGGTCTCCTCGTCAACATGTCTGGACACTAATGGCTGGACTGAGTGAAACCTCAACTTTACATTTTAACGGTATTTTCAATTGTCCTTGTTCTCCAGGTAGTCCTCAAAACTTAACTCTTCAGTCTTTCATTGGTAATGACTACTTCTGTGAATCTGGTAATCCTGCTACTGATAATTCGTGGCTTTACGACGTTTATACATCTGATCCATTGTGGGATGGTAAAGGATGTGGTAGTCTTGAAGATGTTTGTTGTGCAGCTCCTGGTATTCCATGGTTCAATAAGGTACTTGGTACTACCACTACTGACTACCTTGAGCTGAGGGTGTGTGCTGATCAAGAGACAGCTGATGAAGATGTTCCTGTTGGCTTTTATGAGATTTACGTTAAGTAACTGATTTACTTTGAGTGATTCTTATCA